CTTGTTGGTCGCCCCCTCTAGGTTCCCCTTCGTCTTCAAGACCCATCCTATTAATTTAAAGACCTTTGCTATTTTAACATACAATTTATTCTATTAATTTATAATTTCTTGCAGGCCCATCCTAGTTCTCCCCCAGCTAATTTGAACAATTACAATTTCAATTCTAAATGTAAAGTTTGAATCACGCTGACCTAGGTGTTGTCTCTTTTCTAACCCCCACAGCACAGAAGTTTTGCTGCCAGAGCATTCTTGGAGTTGACATAGATTCTGGTGAGATTCTTACCTATTATGATTTCTACTGCTTAATTATGTTAATTTAAAATTGATCTTTGTTCTGTATGTGTTTCTATTTGAAGATGAGAGATTGCCAAACATAAGGCGAGTGAAAGATAATAGAATCTCTTTAAAAGTTCGTAACACTTTTATATAGTGGTTGTTAATCATATCCTGAACATTTATCAAGTCCAAAAATTTAGAAATGCTGAATTTAGCATTTTAAAGTACTACAGGTTGCATTTAAGACTAAGGTATTCCACCCAAAAATCAATAATTTAGAAATGCTCGTTGATATCGATGTTTTTGATAATTTGATGTCTCTTAGAATCTAGCACCTAAAAATAACTAAAGATTCGATTACTGTTCATGTTTTAGAAGCATATCCAGAAAACTGTGAACCTCCTTGGAAACAATAATGTTACTCCTACTTAACACTCACATTACTTTTTAGTTTCTTCAATAAGAAGAAAAATAGGAAGAGAAGAGAGAAACATAGATGATACTGTCATACTCTACTATAATTGTGCACAACTGATAATTCTCTCTTAATGTACTTCTCCTTTAAAAAAAAAATATAAAAAATCCTGTCATTTAATTATGTAAGCAAGGTGAAAAAATTTGAAAAAAGACAAATAAAGGTAAAAAAAAATGGTAGTAACAATGATTGGGTAAAAGATAAAACTCAATTAAAATTGAAACAAGCTAAAAAAAAGCATACTCTATACGTAGCTTGTATTCAATTAATATTATGGAGCTTAAAGCTGAAAATTGATAGAGACTACTACTATATACTGGGTGGTTCTGTTTCCCCTTCCTTTCTCACATTGTGACACGTCATAAGATACTATACATCGATCGATCTAGTCTATAATTATTAGATGACACGAAGTTGGTGAATGTCTCTCTCAATTTCCTACACCACGATTTAATAATTTAGACCCTTCTTTCAGAGTTCTGGTAATAAAAGTCACGTAAGTTTAAAGATTTATAAATACTTGTCATTTCTCAATTGGACTGACAAGCAAGTATATGATTTAAATCAAGTTTATACCTCATTAATTAGAAATTCTTAACTCATAGCTTTTTGGACAAACAAATAATTCACCTAAACTCTTAAATGAAATTGCAAAACGTTCTTTTTTGTTTTACATCTTTGTGGTCTGTGTTAGTTATATCAGTAATATTATTTTCCAACTTATGCAAAGGTTATTCAATATTTCTATGGACCTTGATTTCCCTTAATACAATATACTTCATATGGGGAAAAATAGCACTAAAAACAGGGAAAAAAGTCATTCGCACATCAAAGATTTAGAGCAACGATGATATTTTATACATTCCTGTTTTCTTACAACTCCTTTTCTACCTCTTTTTTCTTAGTATCCTTTAATTCTTTTCACTTATCACAATTCTTATGTCTCCTTTCTCATCTTTTCTCCCACCACATCCAAAGGTGGATATACCTCACAGAATCTTTATTCACTAGACAGTATGGGAGAGTTGGACTTGTTCACAGGGAAAGCGAGAGGGAAAAAAAACTAACAGAAAATCACACTCACTAAAGAAAAGAAAAACACTTCTATCCTTCAAAATGCTATCTGGCTTTACAATTATGATTCACATCCACCATTATGTTTGTATGGATGCTCAAAACTACAAATCAGACTCCATGAATTTGATATAACAGGAGAAAATTGAAATCAGCAATGTTTGCCACAACCAACTTGATTCATTGTTTCCATTGTAAATGGCTAAACAATTCTCTTATACCCCAAGCATGAACACAATCCCCATTCCTAAGCAGCTACTTACTACAAACAAACCCCACTATACACCCCAAATGTGAAAGAACTAACACTAGTACACACTACCACCGAAAAGACTCCTTTTTATAGTGATTCAAGGAAACCAGTTTTTGAGAGCACAACATTCGTCACTTTGCTAAGATCCCTCCTTTTGAGGGTCCTCCCAGCACCTTCTAGAACAGAAAATGAGGATATCTGACTCCTTGCAAGCCTTCTGGCAATAAACTCATGTGGAGGAAGCTTTGAATCATACTCATCATTCTCATCTCCACCACCCTCATCACTATCCCCACCATAGTTGGCAGCAGCATCACCATCATCTTCACCATCATAATCATCAAACCTTGAAGCACTATTCTTGGGGGGGTTAATCCTATAAATCTTAGACCAATCAGGAACGTTGACAGGTGCTGATTGCTGAAGAACCTTGGCTTCATTAGAGGAACTAGCACTGCTGTTGCTACTGCTGGTGGCTCTCGGGATCATTCTGGCTGCACTAGGCCTAGTAGGAACATGAAGAGAAGAGGATTGATCCTTTTCTTTGAACTTTCGAACCCCAGAAGAAGAATAATCACTTCTGTTCTTGAGAACATCCTAAACCTCTTCTTCATCAAAATCTCCATCTCTCAAGGATTTCCATATCCCACTGTGTTGTCTTCCTAGACTATATTTATCTCCCATTACTAATATCACTTCCTGCATAGTCCACACAACACAAATCTGAAGAAACATATCTCAAGTAATTGAACCAGAATTTTCAGTGGTTTAAGCAAGAAACAGAAAGAAAAAAAATAAAGAAGCAAAAAACAAGGGAATCAGAGGTGGTTATAATATAAAGTAAACTAAAAATAATTGATATCTGGTATTTAAAAGAAAGGACTCTGTTGCAGTTTTAGAACTTAACAAATACCAACCAGCTGGCTTTCCAAATCTTCCACCCTCGAGTCCATCTTTGTAAATGGCATCCAGCTGGCTGGACCAATTGTTGGATTCAAGTTTTCCACCCTTTCCTAAAACTGTATTCTGAATAAATAATAGAAATAATCTAGTTTTAGGATCAAGTTTGAGTATCAACATCAATAAAAGCAGGGTTTCCACTAAACAAGGAGTTTCCTTCTTTAAAACACTGGAAAAAATAACCTAACACCTTAATTAGTCTTCTACAAGTTTGTCTCAATATTTATATATCACTATAACTGTCACACCTGTCACACTGTAACATAAAATTGTCTAATCCAAAATTAATATAAAATAATTTCCCAAATCTGAACTTGGTGTATCAGTGATACATTGACTCATTTAACATATGATTCATGAACTGCGCATAATTTTAACATATTTGATTAATTTTTTAAATTCTGACTTGTAAGTTAACGACCTTATGTGTTGATTTACAGCATCATTATATGCTTGCTTGATACGTATCTTTCATACATATGGAGAAACAATGCTCTTTATCTTGAATTTTCAAATTATATGTTACTCATTTAATTGTTAATAATTTATTACTTATTTTTAAAATTAAAGACGCTTTATTGATTTAATGTTTCTATTATCTTCTTTGATAGGTTGGCTGTATAACAAGATTGGTTCCACAAAAAGGTGTTCATCTTATTAGACATGCGATATTTCTAACATTGGAGTTGGGAGGACAATTTGTTCTACTTGGTTCAAGTCCAGTGCCACATATTCAGGTCGTATTTTCTTTCTTTGTGGCAGAAATTTATTGGTGGAATTCATTCTCAACCAAAAAAGAAAACAGCTTTTACATTGGCATATGTTTCAGTGAAATAAAATAATCACAACCGATTCTAATCACTTTGTTGGGAAAGCATAATTAAAAGAATGTATGACTGTTTACTATTCTGATAGCGTGTACCTAAAAGCTATTTTATATTTGCAAAGTAAGTTGTATTGATTAGTGTTCTGAATACTGGAACAACTGGATCGATTAGAAAACCAACGAATTTATTTAGTTTGGTCCAAATAAACCAGAAAACCAGCCTTGAAAAAAATCGATCAAAGGACTGAAAAACCAGTAAAAAAAACCAGTTCATAGTGGATCAAAGGACTGAACTGAGCATCCCAAAAAAACCATAACCAGAAACACATCACATCCTATCTCACAACTCAAATTTAATACAACAAAACCCTTATAAAGAAAATTCATTCCCATCTCAAATAACCATACAAGCTTCGATTGAATTCCTCGTTACATATATCACTTTTTAACAAAAAAATTAAATGTTAATTATTACGATATTCTATAATATGTATGAAGTGTAGAAAAAAATCAAAAGTTAACTGAAAATGTTAATTGTTATGACATTCTATATGTATGAGGTGCTTAATATCTTGATGGGTATTTGTTCAGGGAGCAACATCAATCAGGACCTTCTCATTCTGAAGAACCTAGAGTGCAGGAGGATCGTCACGCTGATCGGTAAAATTTACTAAAATAAAAAAAGAGAAATAAAATAAAATTATAAAAAAATATATGTAATTTTCTTATACCTATAATTATATTTAATCATTTATATTTAATCTAGAATTGTCTTGCTGGACAGTTTGGGATGAGTAATTTTTTTTATACTTGTTTGACACGTACAAGTTAAGTCTCATCTTAAATTTGATTAAATTTTGGTTTATTGCATTTTGTGTTGTTCTTTGAGTGCATATTTGATTGTGGTGTATATAATTTGATGTCACCACTTTCATTTCATGTACTTAGAGACCAATACAAAATGTTGTCAAAATTTTGTCAAGTTTAAGAAAATGGATTGAACTAGTACATATTGATCAAGTATAAAATAAAATCTTGAATGGGATAGGGTCACACCTTGTATAAAATAGTGAGATTGACATCCATGGTCTATCTTTTTGATAGAGAACATAACTTATGGATCGAAGTTGGTTATTGAATCAAAGTTGGATACGAGCACCACGCATAAGTGAGCAATATGA